TTATTTCGTTTGAGGTGCACTACAGGTATTGGTTCACATTGTACGGGGTAATTAACGGGGGGGTAATTAAAGGGGATCCACACAGGTATAATGCACCACTTCTAACACAGTGGATAATTAGGATACAAATTTATGGTGGTAGTGATAGTCGTAGTGGTTATAATTGTGGTAGTGGTGGTTATATTTGTGGTAGTGGTGGTTATAACTGTGGTAGTGATAATGGTGTTAGTGGTAATGGTGGCTATAATTATTGTGGAAGTGGTGAAAGTAGTGATAAATATAGTATTGGTGGTGGTGTTGGTAATAGTGGTGGAATTGGTTATATCGGTTATGCTAAGGCAGTGGTGGCAGTGGGGAAGGAAGGGTTGGGGGTGAAAATGGTGTAAGTGGTGTCAGTAAGAGGGTTGTCAACGTTGTCAAGAAGTAACACAACGAAAGAAGCAACAGTATGGAAAACGCGAGGTGGGTTGGTCGCTAGCCAGAAAGTGGGGGAGGTGGGGAGGAGAGGGAGGAGGGAGGGGTAGATGGAGAGGAGGGAGGGGAAGAGGTGAGGGAGGGGTGGTAGTACCGTTACTTGGCGCAGATCCCGTTGTGTGACCCAGCACCACCACGACTACCACTACTGCTACCATAACTACCACTACCTTAAACCACGACCTACCATCACTACTACCATAACTACCACGACAACCACCACTACTACTACTACCACCATTACCACCACCACCACCATAACCACAACAACCACCACTGCTACCATAACTACCACTAACATATCCACCATAACAACTCTGGGGGAAAATAGACCTCCAATACGATAACTTGCTCTCTTAGGTACGACATGTAAACAAACGAAACAAAAGAACATCAAGGTGCACCAGTAACCAAACAGGTGTGTGTGGTGTAGTGGGTGCGTGACACTAAACTCGACTCCCGCGACTCTAATTTATACTTTCTTCTCTCTCAGAGGTCATGGAAGCTGTGGAAGAAAGCGCGAGAAAGCCACCACGACAAAACAACTTTCTTCTTTTTGCTGTGACGCCCATCTCCTGAGAACACGAAAGACCAGAGGGTAAAAATTACCTTAGTTACCCTCATATATAAGAACATACGCTTAGTTACTCAAATATATAAGAACATACAGTACACTAAGCTATCCTCATATACGGTATAAGAAATAAAAACGTATCTGATTCAAATAAGATTATTAAGACGCAGACACACTTTTTTTTTACATCTGGATCTCCATATTTCATTCTCTTGGGGAAGCTAAGAAGTTGATTAAATAATATATAAAACCTTTGAAGAATAATACAAAAATAAAGATTTCAATGCTATAAAAACCACCCATGAATTCTGTAAACGAAAAGTATGACTAAAGAAAAGAACATCGCTAAAAAACAAAACACGCCAACAAAAAAAAATCATCGTATAAAAAAACACGAAATCACAAAAAAATCCTGTATAAAAAATTCAAAACAAAACTCCTGACAGCAAACAGACTGACAGACAGACAAACACAGACAGACATAAGTTGTGGAAGAATCTTTATATCAACAGTACCCTGACAGTGAGTGAGTCGTCATGGCGGTAAGAGCTATAAACCGATGCCCTAAACTTAACCTAACCAACCCGGCGCTCCGTGGCGTCCCCTAACTGGTCTGAGTAAGCCTGGGTCCTGGAATAATGGAATCACAGAACCGTAAACTCGCGAGAAAAAAATAATGCTGATAAGTTTCGTGTTATTTGATCACCACGGATATATTTTCCCACCAATCGAATATTTGTTTGTCTTTGTATTTTTAGTATGAGAGAGAGAGAGAAGAGAGAGAGAGAGAGAGAGTCAGAGAGTGTCAGTGTGTGTGTGTGGAGAACCTCGGCCGACACACTGTACTACGCACCCTCACAGTAAACAGGTAAATCCCCCATTTTGGTCCACCAGCTGCGAGGAGAGACGTCCGCCTCCCCCTTATTGTGAACCAGTGAGACAAGACGGGTATATTTTCCCTATTGTGGTCCAGTTTCTTCCAGGGTCACTGACTTCCAAGACACCGTCAGTTAACCTCAAGGGTCACTGACCTTCAAGACACTGTCAGTTAACCTCAAGGGTCACTGACCTTCAAGACACTGTCAGTTAACCTCAAGGGTCACTGACCTTCAAGACACTGTCAGTTACCACCAGGGTCATTGACCTCCAAGACACTGTCAGTTAACCTCCAGGGTCACTGACCTCTAAGACACTGTCAGTTAACCTCAAGGGTCACTGACCTTCAAGACACTGTCAGTTACCTCCAGGGTCACTGACCTCTAAGACACTGTCAGTTAACCTCAAGGGTCACTGACCTTCAAGACACTGTCAGTTAACCTCCAGGGTCACTGACTTCCAAGACACTGTCAGTTACCTCCAGGGTCACTGACCTCCAAGACACTATCAGTTAACCTCCAGGGTCACTGACCTTCAAGACACTGTCAGTTACCACCAGGGTCATTGACCTCCAAGACACTGTCAGTTAACCTCCAGGGTCACTGACTTCCAAGACACTGTCAGTTACCTCCAGGGTTACTGACCTTCAAGACACTGTCAGCTACCACCAGGGTCACTGACCTCCAAGACACTGTCAGTTACCACCAGGGTCATTGACCTCCAAGACACTGTCAGCCTCCAGTCACTGACCTTCAAGATATTGTCAGTTACCTCCAGGGTCACTGACCTCCAAGACACTGTCAGTTACCTCCAGTGCCAGTTATCTAGAACACACTCTGGGTATAGACACCTTCCAGTCACCAATATAATGTCTCCCCTTAACTCAGGGCCTCCTAACGGGCGGGTGAGGTAAGCGCCGTGACCCTGGCTCTGGTGGTGGCACGCACCCAACAACACCTGCTGGGAAGGACGCCGGCCAGGGGACATTACCCCGGACCCGCCCCGCATGCCTCTGGTCCCTCTCATCCCAGGACGTCCCCGCCGAAGCTGCCGCTCCCCCCTATGGCTGTCGACATTTTGAAGGGAAGGAGTCCACTTGTCCCTCCCTGTAGGCCAAGCGTCCCTCATATTTCAATTTCCAAGACGTCCCCTCCGAAACTATCACGTCTTCAGATATCGCTCCACTCTCTGTAGCACCCCAAGAGTACACTGCCCTGTACTCACCCACAAAGTTGATGGGTTCCTATAGCTGTCCTCACCGCTTCTTGTTTCTTCCGTCAACTCATGAAACAAATTACACAACAATCCCACACCAAACACACCCCATATATACACACACATACACCACGCGTCTCACACAAACCATATGCATACCAAACACCATCTGCACACCACACCACAAACTACATATCAACCACTCACCTTATTTCATGTATATTATTACTACACACACACAAACACCATCTAAACACCACCCATCACACACCGAACATATTCTACGCCCCACACCAAGAACTCCTCAGACCTACACACTACCACTCCTACATTCCTGTGTCCTCGGTCACCCCATAGCACTTACCTACGTCTTGTCCCTCGTTCAGCTCATCATCATCATCATCATCATCATCATCATACACACACACACACACACACACACACACACACACACACACACGATTAATATATTCTAACCCCAGGACATAAGATTGACTACAAATTTGGTGTTTGTTGAGCAGTAATGACAAAAATGATGGTCCAATTTAAGATACACGACAGAGTGAATTTAAATAAGAAAAAATAATTGACCCTTAGCTCTAAACCTTTACTCACTCGTGAAAACAAAACAATAATATAGAGTTTAAAGCACTCTAGACTGTCCTAAAAGTCTTACATAAAACATAACTTAACATAAATACATAAACATATAAGCACTTACCGTTGTCTTAATGTGGATATAACGTTTTGTATTGAAGCAGAAGAAATGCATTGGGCCAGTAAAGCAGTCATGTACAGCAGTAGGTTTTATGTAGCTGCAGTAGACAGTTATCAGAGACAGTAAGGACAGGTAAGGATAAGATTCACCTGGTATTATTTACATGTGTACGTCACGTTACTGTCAGCTGGGTCTTGGATTTAAGGTTACGGAAATAACTGAGGCAATTGTCTTGTTAATGTGTTTTCCAGTCAAGTATCTCTGCTAATCATCTGTTGTCTCTTAGAATCTCATGAAAATCTCTGTCTCTCTCTCATCTTAGTCTCCCTCTCTAACTCTCAGCTCAGTCTCTCTTAGTTGAGCGATTATCGTCTCTGAGCATAGTACTACCAGTCTAGGCGTGAGGATGTCTTTAATAATAACTTCTATCACCGAATCTCTCACCACGCTTCATAACATGGCAATAAAAACCCACACGTCAAACTCCCTGACTTATAAGGTAAGGTAAGGTAAGGTGTACCCAGAGTCAGGCGAGTAGGACGGTCAGCTCTGTCTGTATATATACATTCACCATGATAGCCTCTAAAGCTACTGTATTTCAGGGTCAGGAAGTTAGAAATACAACTGGGAAAGTCTCCAACTGACGTATCTTGGCACTGCACTATGGTGGTTTGTTTTAAAGGTCATTAAGTAATGCCTAAATACAATGCTATCACTAACGATGGGCAAAGCCTCCACCGCCCCTCACCAAACTCCAAGGAGCCGTAGCTCTGTACAGCAAAGATAAATAAAGCTTTCGGAAAACTTTGAAAATCAAAACATTTATAAAGCTGTTGTAAAATCCTGAAATCTGATGATAACTAAAAAAGCTTTGTATAAAAAAAACAAGTCCAAACTCCTTAAGTCTACTGTCACTTCAAAAGCAAATCCAAGGCCCCTGTTCAGTCATTAGTCATTTATAATAAGCAGAGACAGAAGGTTTAAGAAGTCCTCATACGCTATAAATTCATCGGTATACAGGATAGGATGTAAATATCAGGTATATACAATAGATCCTTATGTACAGGACAAGAAACTTCGTCACTACAGGCTTGTCAATTCGTCCCCACCCAGCATGAAAGTAATGTGAGGATGGACACTTACTAGATAAGATCTGGGGAGAGATGGACGTAGGCATGGTGGTGTCTGCTGCTGTGTGCTCCACTGACACACACAGCAATAACAGCAGCAACGCAGCCACCGTCGACAGGATATTTGCTGTGGCGTGGTACATGGTGGTGACTTGCGTAAGTAGGTCTGTTTACAGTGGTACGCTGGTAACGCCGTTCGTTCTTACCGTGGTGACCCAATGACACACTGGATTGTCTATAGTACTGACCAACTGTTAGTTTCGTCTCTTTCGGGAATGACTCCTTCGTGTTTTGTCGTCACGGTGAAGACCTGGTGAAACTGATCTCCTTATTGTGGTGCCCTAATGACACTCTGATCTCTCTTAGAAAAGGTCCTCTGGGGGATCACACCTCGAGCTTTCTATTGAGGACCTGTCCACACGACTGTCTCTTAACAGCTGCCTGGAGAGAGGGGGGAGGACACTGGTCGCTCTACAGGAGAGTTCCAGACGACACACTGGTCTCCCTACAGTAGGTCCTTCTAGGTTCACATTCTGTCCTCACGTCAGGCGTCAAACTTCCACTGTTCATCCCAACTTCAGCTAAAGGCACACGAGGCCCTACTGAACACCCTTGTCTCTGTTCCCAAGACTACTAGCGTAGTTAGTTCCACAGGTATAGGCTCCAGCTGCTGTGGTGCGTCCTCACAACACACACGGTGCAGGAGTGGCCGAATAAGGCAGACAGGAAGTTCACCTCTTAGGCATGATGAAGGGTATGCGTGTGTGTGTGTGTGTCTGGGTCTCACTCACACCACCTGGCCTCGCGTTCCGAGATCTCACTTCCTCGGCTTCGTGTTCTTGGCCTCGCGTACTTGAGGTCTCGCTCCACCTGCGGGTGTAACACAAACAGGTAAGAGTATGTCATCACAGCTGAGCAAAACACACACACACAAACACAATCGACACGTGAACGGGCCGAGCGAATCACGTCCACAATACACACATTAATACACAATATATCATGAAAGTCCTGCAGGGAGAATTACATAACATACAGTAATATTAAATAAGGGAGAATAACATTATTAAATTAAACACAAAACAATAAATAAATCAGAATAAACAAAGAAAAATAAATATAGACTTAGTAACAGCGCTTAATAAAGGATACTAAATAAAACAAATAACAAACAAAGGCGATTAATAACATCACATCATAAATTACATAAACTAATATGATAAAAATGGAAGAATAACAAGAAGAGAACACACACTAACAATGGAGGACAAATAAAATAATAAAACTGACATAACACAAGACCAAATACATCGATAAGAAAGATTTCCCTCATAACCTGCTATTTATGTAAAGAAAATACCAAACTAATATTTATAATCTATTTTAACATTTTACTTGGTTTAATCTTTTCTACTTTGTTGTTAACTGTACACACTCTCTCTCTCTCTCTCTCTCTCTCTCTCTCTCTCTCTCTCTCTCTCTCGTTAATGGTGTTCAGTGAAAGTATCTAGTTAAGTACACTTTTTGGGATGTGTCATTTACTAGCTAAAGCTTAAGTCAACTATGAGTTTTATAGATAAAACTTTTAGTACTGTAGCCCCAGTTTACACATTATGACGCAGTAAACCCGACGAAGTGGAAGGAGGAGAGGAAGAAAGAAGAGGAGATGCAGGAGAGGGGGTGGGGTGGGTGGGAGGAGGAGCCAGTGACCGAGAAGTTTAGACTGTCTCGCTCCTCACTTCCTTGATACTGAGGTGCAGGGTGTTTTCTCCTCCACTCGCCGGTCACTCGCGCGCCCTTTACTCGGTCAAGTTCTCGGCCGCCATGTTGGAACACGTCATCATCAGCTGACGAAATATAAACAATGGCTACCACTCAGCTCATGGACTGTTAGAAATGTTGCCATGTGTTCAGATAGAGTAATATAACCCTGTAGGTGTCGAAAAGCTGACTTGATGTGATGTAAACATACCCTTACGATCAGCTGACATGACATAAACATACCCTTACGATCAGCTGACATGACATAAACATACCCTTACGATCAGCTGACATGACATAAACATACCCTTACGATCAGCTGACATGACATAAACAAACCCTTACGATCAGCTGACATGACATAAACAAACCCGTATGATCAGCTGACGTGACATAAATCATTAATACAGATACAGATTATGTAACAAAAATCTTAATACAGAGACAATAGGCTTCATAACACAGACTTAACAACAACGCTATAGATAAATGACGTTGTCCCACACCTTAAACAACTCTGCCCCGCCCTCCTTGACACGGAATTACCTGTTTGCAGTACACACACTCTCGCGTCACATCTGAGTTATCACGCATCGACGACATTACCTACAAGTAAACAATGAATTTGACCCAGAAAATTACCCGTGGAAGAGACCCAGAGAAGATGAAAAGTGTGTGTGTGAGTGAGTGTGTGTGTGTGAGTGTGTGTGTGTGTGAGTGAGCGTGTGTGTGGAGGCGACAAGTAGTGCAAGTGACCTACATATACACCTACCTGCCTGCCCACAAGCCACAACCAGCTACTGCCACAAACAACTAACACTAACCAACACAAACCAGGTAAATCGGAAAGGAGGTGTGGGTCTTCTGGTGGTGGAGGAACATTAACAACAAGGTGTGTACAGTCCAGGTGTTGTCTCCCAGGTAAGGTTTTGACAGACACATCAAGGCACAAACATAATGCCTCCTCTGGCGTAGCTGACGGGGCATAATTAGAAAATATTCCTCCTCCACTGTCCCAGACTTTCCTCCCTTCAGGATATATAATTTTTTTCATTTCCCTTCGGTATAAGAATATGTTTACATAGTCAGCTGATTACTGTGTACCTCAACCAAAACTGACTCACCTTATCTACACACATTAAATTTCGTTTTGTTTGTTTGTTGTGTTCTCGTGAATGTTTTACTATTAACATGAAACTATTTTAAGACATACAGAACGGACCATAACTGTCTAAATAATGAAGAAAACTATTCATCATTTATCTCGTTTTAATTCATTACCAAAGTTTAATAAAAATCTACAGCTATTTTTTGCTTGGTAATTTTGAAACTTTATATATAATTAACTTCTGGATATACTGTAGACCTGACAGCATCAAACTGTAAACGGCACGAGATCAGTACGACGGCTCTTGGGGGTTGTCTCTAACAAGTGGATCACTAGAGCTGGACCAATGGCTCGGCCACTCCACCTCGTCCACCTGACCTGTCCCCAATGTACGAATTTTTATGTGTTCATGTTAAAACTGTTATTCGATTATAAACAAATAGATTCTTTCCATGAAATTAGGGCGAAGATGACTAACAGAAGCCATGGAACTTCTTGACAGCACTGAAGGACACTAGAGTCATATAGGTAACCACGAGGAGACAGATGCAAGGAGAGATTCAAGCGCTTTCGTGAGTGAGGTCCTGACAGATACAAGCACCGGCGGAAATTATCAGAGACAAATGACATGAGTATATTAGAGTGCAGTGATGATCATATGTCAGGTTAACATGAGTAAACTATGAGCATCGGTACAGAGAGCGAGTGTTCCAGCACGTCACACCACTGGATCAGTCAACCGGGGTACTGGAAACAGTTTCTCCATATAATTCTAATTCCACCTGATGCCACGGATCATCACGTATCATTCCGTCACACTTTTTAGTTGTGTTAAAGCAGCCTGACACCCGCCTTTCCGGACACCGCTGATGATATTTTTCCCACTCGTAATTGGTGTCTTTTCAAATGTGGCTGATTTAACATAGCCATGACCTGTTCCTGTTCACCCATGTTACCACCACCACCACCCCTGTACTGTACAGTAGAGGCAAGACCTGTATCTAGTATAAGTTCAATATCGTGGCCATTTAAACAACAATATTCGCGACGGAGTTTACTGTAGAGGTGTTCTCATACATCCAGTTAAGAAAATAATTCACCAATGTAAAACCTGCACACGACAGCACCAAGGAAGTACACACCACTGTGACCCCAACATAACCAAGTGTCTCCACCATGACGACTGCTACAACACCACCTGCGACTCACACCATCTGCTATGGACAAAACCGCTAGTCTAAAACTCTTGCTATTATTACCACCACATACCAGGGTGAATAATCCCCCCGTGTGTGTGTGTGTGTTTTATGAATTCATTAGCCATTATGTTTGTAAAATCTATCCTCAGTATTTAATTGATTCTCACACCACTTGGTACAACTAATGACGATGGACGGTTAATATACAGATGTTAATAATGATTTACTCTAAGCTCACCCATTTGTCTTACCGTCTCACTTTTATGGAAATTTAAAGGTACAAGTCTCTCTCTCTCTACCCTTCTCAGTCACCCCCTCTTCCTCTGCTCTCCCTCCTTCAATCTCTCTCATCTCCTCATCCCTAACCCCCGATACACAAGAGCGCGGTGTCCATGACATGTACACTCGCCAGCTGTGTGCACCTTGAGTGTACAGTAACGGTATACACACACACGCACATAGTGTACTGACCACCTAATCACCATATCGGGGTCTTAGCTCAACACAGGTCCAAGGGAATCTAAATATATAATAATCTATCGATTTGTCTATCAATCCATTCATTACGTTTAGGCACCTCCCTTTTTGTGAGGTAGATCAAGGAATACACACACACACACAAACACACACACGCACACGCAAACACACACACACACAGTAACACTTCAGCATCAATTGACTCAACATTTTGTATACATTCACAAAAATATACAATAATGATGATATTTGTATTCACATTTAAAACCAGAATATTTTGTTTTAATTTATTTTACAATGTACAAGAACTTAATTCAGAACACCTAGACTACACCCATCACACACCTGGTAGGTTACACCCACCACACAACACCTACGCTACACCCACCACACAACACCTACACCCACCACACAACACTACACCCACCACACAACACCTACACCCACACACAACACCTACACCCACCACACAACACTACACCCACCACACAACACCTACACCCACACACAACACCTACACCCACCACACAACACTACACCCACACACACAACACCACCACACAACACCTACTACACCCACCACACAACACCACTACACCCACCCACACACAACACCTACACTACACCACCACACAACACCTACACTACACCCAGCACACAACACCTACACTACACCCACCGCACAACACCTACACTACACCCACCACGCAACACCTACGCTACACCCATCATTAAACACCTTAGACAACATACACAGCGTCCAGGTGTAAGAACATCAGCTGACTTAAGTTTATAAACAGTTGTGGGAGGGAGGGAGGTTGGCGAAGCGTGAAGGTGGATGATGGTCAAAGAGGTATACACCGTAGCTTACGTCTGTGTCTGTAAGTGTTTTGAGAGAGAGAGAGAGAGAGAGAGAGAGATTCTAACGTGTGTAAGATTAGGTTAGGCTTAGGTTAGGTTAGGTGGGGCAAATCTGAGAATAAATATCTGACTAGGACAATTTTAAAGATTTTTTTTTAATATGAATTTCATTCGATTATGATTTTTCTAAAGTAAGACTGTCCCACGTAAGGTTGGTGACTTCTTATATTGGTGGTGGGGGTGGTGGTGTGGTGGGGTGTGGTGTGATTTGGTGGGGTGTGGTGTGGGGTGATAGTGACGATGGTGATATAGTGGTGTTGGTGGTAGTAGTGATAGTGGTGGTGGTAGTGGATATGATTGCTATTGTAGTGTTATTGTGCAAACTGCCTTTGTGAGTCATCTGGGTGAAGAAGCCTTGTGTGTGTGTGTGTACAAAACCTGTTATACTTTCTCACATCTTTCAT